AAATCCACAGGTCTTAAAGTTGCTAAGTTTGTAGACCCCTGAGCTAGCTGGTCGGCCCTTCTTCTTCTCTCCCTTCTGAGTTATTTCCAGTGTAGTAAGAATGCACCCCCCCATCCCTGTATCCTTAAAGACACATGAATGGATGCAAAGTAAAAAAGGCTCACAAAATAAAGAAACATGTTTTTTTTCTTTAAGCTGCCTCAGGCATGTCACAATGTTGCAACCCGAGACTGAAAGGCTTTGGCAATTGCGAAAAGCTGGTAGCCGTAAATTAAGCCTGTTTACCTTCAAAGAAAACTTTCTAAAACCATAGACAGACTCAAGATAAGGGGGTAAAATTAATTACATTTGTTTAAAAGGATACGGAAGCCAACACTTAGGACTCATTGCTAGCCTAAAATATAGACTAAAATATTCCAGTAACCAAAGCACACAAACCGAGCCTCTGAATTACAAAACGCTGTAAAAACTGTACAAAAATCCTTATGGTAACTCAATCAAGCTGCCACCTGATCCAGAACTAAATAAACCCACCTCCTTTCTGACATGCTTGTCTGCCGGCTTCAGCGCTGATTGCATTCTCCTGGCTGGAGAAAATGAACCAGCAACAGTTGCTGCTTCCTCCCTGTCCCTGTTTCCTCCCTACCTGCTGAGCTTTCCTTTTTTCCTGTTGTCTTTTTTCCCCTTTTACTGCCCAAACCACCTCCATTTATAGCCTCCCCTCTCCTCCCCCCTTTTCTTCAGTTCACCTCCAGCTGCACGCTGCTTCCAGAAGTGCCAAACAGCTGGAGCCCTGCCGGCTCCTGGGGCTTCTGCCAAGCCCAGAGAGTCCTGCAGCTGCAGCTGCCTCTCCCTCAGGCTTGGGTTGCTTCGGCTCATTCCCCTCCCTCACTACACTTCTCTAGGACAGCCGTGTATCACCTGCCACGTGGCAAAGTACCACAGGTGGTGTGCATACCACTGGTTGAAAAGCCCTGCCCTAGAACAGGGCTTTTCAACCTTTTCACCCATTGTACCACTTTAGGATATGGCAATATCCGAGTACTACCAGTCGCTTAGCAAGGTGTCAAAAACTTGATGACCAAAAAAAAGGAAAAAAGTAATAAAGTACAGGTAGTCCTTGACTTACAACAGTTCACTTAGTGACTGTCCAAAGTTACAATAGCCCTGAAAACAGTGCTCCCCAGCCACAGCTGAGCAAGACACCTGCCTGCCCACCCAGTGGCGCTCTTCCTCCAGTCCGAGGTTTTCATTGTTATGAGCATTTCTGTTGAGGATTGGCAACAGGGGTGGGGTGGGGGGGGTGTTTGGTTTTTATTCCTCCTGTCTGCTGAATGGTTGCAGCAGATTTTGGTCACTTCACATGACCCTGGGACACTGTGACCGTCATAAATATGAATCAGTTGTCAAGCATCTGAATGTAAATCACAAGACCCTGGAGATGCTGCAACATGCCAGCTGATTGGCTCTTCTTTTGGGCTCAGCAGAAGTGCCAGGATCAACGCCAAGCTCCAGCTGGTGGTGCTTCTATTGAGGTGCTTCCATTGAGGCCTGACATCCCTGAAGAAGTGCTGATCCTGGCACTTCCATTGAGCCCTGACAGCCCTGTAGGTTCAGCCATCTCTTGCTCAGACTTGTGCGGTGCTGCGACTAGTTCAGCTCATTCCCCTACCCCGCTACCAGTTTTCTAGGATGGTCACATATCAAGTGCCAGGTGCCAATGTACCACAGGTGGTACCTGTACCACTGGCTGAAAAGCCTTGCCCTAGAAATCAAGCTCAAGATCAAAAAAGATTTTAATAGATTTGAACACTGGGCCCTAGCTAACAAAATGAAATTCAACATTGATAAAAATAAGGTTTTACACTTAAGCAAGAAAAAACAATTGTATAGGAATAGACTAGGCCTGGGGTAGGCAACCTTGACTCTTTTATGACTCGTGGACTTCAACTTCCAGAATTCCTGAGCCAGATTGCCTATCCCTGGATTAGGCGAAACTTGGCTTAATGCCAGTAGTTGTGAAAGGGATCTTGGAGTCCTAGTGGACAGTCACCTAAATAATATGATTTAAGTGATTGTCCACTAGAGCCAACAATGTGTGGCAGCAGCCAAAAAAGCCAACATAATCCTGAGATGCATTAATAGAGGGATAGAATCAACATCTCATAAAGTTCTAGTACCATTAACTTATAGAAAATGTCCAAAATGCAGGACCCATGATTCCCATGGGATTGATAAAGATGTGGCTGTTTGAATGCAGCTATGCCACTTTACTTTACAATTGTGTTCATATGTTGATCATTTCCAGTGCTTCCTACCAGGTTCCTACAAGAAAGTCAATGGGAAGCCAATAGGAACTGTGAAATTGCTCCTGCTCCCGGTGATTTTTTGCCTACCCGTGGGCATTCTGTTTTTCTATTAAGATAAGGAAATATCTCTGAAACAATGATCCATTTGGTCATGGGTTGTCTAGCACAATGGTCCCCAACTTTTCTGGCTCCATGAACCAGCAGCGGTGGGGGAGGAGAGAGGATGCTTTTGTCCATGCACCCGCCATTTACATGTCCCAGGTCCCAATGGGCCACAGCCTGCGGACTGTGGACCAGGGGTTCAGGACCCCCAATCTAGCATATTACTAAAACCCTTCTGTCTGATTGTTTATAACCATTTGAGTGAAATGGCACCACAGGACAATTTTTTAAACAATATACCTATAAGGAGCAGCTATCCTGAATACATGTGGACAATCTCATGAGAGTGAAATCTCTGGTGAAATCTCTGGTGAGATTTCACTGGCCAAGCTCCATCTTTTGTCCAGCAATCTCTGTGGAAAGTGTGCCCCAGCTCCTGGAACATCTAGCTTGCCATGTACACACATACAGTGAAGGAAAAATTATTTGATCCCCTGCTGATTTTGTACGTTTGCCCACTGACAAAGAAATGACCAGTCTGTAATTGTAATAGTAGGCGTATTTTAACAGTGAGAGACAGAATAACAACAACAACAAAATCCAGAAAAATGCATTTCAAAAAAGTTATAAATTGATTTGCATTTTAATGAGTGAAATAAGTATTTGATCCCCTATCAGCAAGATTTCTGGCTCCCAGGTGTCCTTTATACAGGTGATGAGCTGAGATTAGGAGCACTCTCTTAAAAAGAATGCTCCTAATCTCAGATTGTTACTTGTATAAAGACACCTGTCCACAGAAGCAATCAATCAGATTCCAAACTCTCCACCATGGCCAAGATCAAAGAACTGTCCAAGGATGTCAGGGACAAGATTGTAGACCTACACAAGGCTGGAATAGGCTATAAGGCTATCTCCAAGCAGTTTGGTGAGAAGGTGACAACAGTGCAATTATTCACAAATGGAAGAAACACAAAATAACTCAATCTTCCTCCATCTGAGGCTCCATGCAAGATCTCACCTCGTGGAGTTTCAATGATCATGAGAACGGTGAGGAATCAGCCCAGAACTACACGGGAGGATCTTGTCAATGATCTCAAGGCAACTGGGATTATAGTCACCAAGAAAACAATTGGCAACACACTACGCCGTGAAGGACTGAAATCCTGCAGCGCCCACAAGGTCCCCCTGCTCAAGAAAGCACATGTACAATGAAATTGCCAATGAATATCTGAATGATTCAGAGGAGAATTGGGTGAAAGTGTTGTGGTTAGATGAGACCAAAATCGAACTCTTTAGCATCAACTTAACTCACCGTGTTTGGAGGAGAAGGAGTGCTGCCTATGACCCCAAGAACAATATCCCACCATCAAACCTGGAGATGGAAACATTAAGCTTTGTCAAATCTTGGATGAGAACCTGCCTTCCCTCAGCCAGGGCATTGAAAATGGGTCATGGATGGGTATTCCAGCATGACAGTGACCAATACACATGGCCAAGGCAATGGCTCAAGAAGAAGCACATTAAGGCTTTGGAGTGTCATAGCCAGTCTCCAAACCTTAATCCCATAAAAAAATCTATGGAAGGAGCTGAAGGTTCAAGCTACCAAACATCAGCCTCGAAAACTTAGTGACATGGAAAGGATCTGCAATCCTTCCTGAGATGTGTGCAAACCTGGTGGCCAACTACAAGAAATATCTGACCTCTGTGATTGCCAACAAGAGTTTTGCCACCAAATATCAAGTCATGTTTTGTGAAGGGGTCAAATACTTATTTCCACTCATTAAAATGCAAATCAATAGCTTTTTTGAAATGCATTTTTCTGGATTTTTTTTTCTTATTCTGTCTCTCACTGTTAAACCTACCATTATAATTATAGACTGATCATTTCTTTGTTGGTGGGCAAATGTACAAAATCAGCAGGGGGTCAAATAATTTTTCCCTTACTGTGTACACAAACACACACACATGAATCTAGGATATTCTTATGTTCATATCTTCAAGAAAGAAGTATACCTGTTAAAAACATTTGACATATCCTATGTAAACAACAATTATAAGGGTGAATTGATAAAAGGCATACTTATAGCCAGATTTTGCTGTTCGCTTATTAGAAGCATGTGCTTTAAAGTATATATATTTAAAATTCCAATGTCTACATGTACCTCCCTGAAGCCATTTTCTAGGTATTTTGACTGATGATGTTTAGCAAGTAGTTATAGGGAATAAAACATCTTCTGAAACTGCATCTGATGTGAACTATTCTACAATTTTGGTATCAGAAAAAATATTTTAATTGTTTCTGATGTGATCTTTTATTAAATATTACGACTTTGTATGCTTTATTGGTTAATTTATCTGTTTTAAATAGTTTAATCATTACTATAATTTGCCCTTGCTGTATGATTGTAAATGGATGGATGATTGAAGATCAAAAAACTGTTTTCTAGCTGCCTCAAAATTATTATTGTAGTGTGTACCTGCCAAGATTGATTAGTATAGAACACATGTGGTATAGAACATGTTTTATACTAAATTGCTGTGCAAACATATTTATTGTAATTATTGTTTTAATTGTTTTTATATTTTTAGCTGTAAGACAAAATTATATCCTGATAATCTTCCTACAACAAGTGTTGTAATTGTTTTTCATAATGAAGCTTGGAGTACTCTCTTGCGAACTGTTCATAGTGTAATAAACAGATCACCAAGACATATGCTGGAAGAAATTATCCTGGTAGATGATGCTAGTGAAAGAGGTAAGAATTTATCATTGTTTGCATCAGTTGCCATTTGGACATACTTCCTAGATTTAGACTTTTCTTGGTATAGCTTTAAGGTTAGATTCATATAAAGTAGGTTTGTTACCCGGAAAATATTTTGTGTGGTAGGAATTGTGCCTTCGTATTTGGAATAAAATTTACAAATTTCTTTCAGAATAAATGTGTATCAGGAGAATGTTTGAAATCTCGCTTGATTTTGGCATCAGGGCAGATTGAGGACCAAATATATTTTATTTCCAGAATTGCTCATAGTGCAATATATTATCCATGCTTGTCTGTATTAAAAGAAAAAAAAAATCAGTCGTTCTGTTTCTCTTCTTTCAGTTAAGATGATTTTTTCTAAATGGCTAAAATCTTGCGAGATTATTATTTTTCATAAGATTCTGAGTTTTTTCATCTAGACCCTTTACAGTTCAGGTAGAGAGAGCTATAGTACTGAAACATACTTGATTGCACTTGTCAGTTACCTTTCGAGGGCTAAGGATGAAAATGTTGCATCCATCCTGGTCCTACTGGATCACTCAGCAGCTTTTGATGCTATTGACTACAATATCTTGCTGGATCAGCTCTGGGAACTGAGAGTAGGACCTCTATTTTGAAGTGATTTTTCTTTCTTTGTGGCTGATACTAGTAAGTATTGGTGGAGGAAGAGTGGTCCAGCTCTAGGTGCCTATTATGTGGATGTCTTAGGGCTCAAGTCATTGTTCTACTTACAATAACATCCTGTTTAACATCTATATGAAGCTGCTGGAGAGGTCATCGACCAGCATGAGGTTCATTGTCATCAGCGTGATGAAATGGTTGCGATTCTCTCTCTCCCCCCCCCCGCCCCCTGCAGGATCAGGAGTATTGACATCTGTGATTCTGAATGAGGTAACACTCTCCTATAGAGATCTGGTATGCAATTTTAGATTCACAGATTCTGCTGCTTTCAGCTTCCAGCAGGACAAATTTTGCACAAATCCATCTTGAGCACCAGTTGCACCCATTCCTGAATCAAGAGACTCACAGTCACCCATGTCTTAGTCATTTTCCATTTTGATTACTGCAATGCACTTTAAATGGGGCTGCCCTTGAAAATCAGCCAGAAGCTGATCTTCCAGAATGTAAAAGCACACATAATTTTGGGTTCCCGATGTTTCATCTGAGCAACACCATGGCTACATGAGTCACACTGGTTTCCAGTTGCGTTCTGGGTGCAATTCTAGCTACTAGTTATCAACTTTTGTACACAGCACAAAGCTACGTTACTTTCAGGTCCATCTCTCCCTGTGAGTATCTGCCCATCCTACTAGGTTAGAAAGGGTGTTGCCATCTGATGTTGCCCTCTGATAAAATGTTGAAGGCAGGGTGGATTTGATTTAAATCAAGTTGATTTAAATCACTAGTAAAAAGTTTTGATTTAAATCAACTTGATGAAATCATAATTTTTAAAGACCAACTGTCATCTCTGTCCCGCAATGGCTCCTCTGACCTGCTGTTGACTCATCGACAGTCCCACTCACTTTAACGGGATGGCTGGTGATGCAACAATGACACAACAAGGTGAGGGACATGGCAGGCAGCAGGTGAGTAGATGCCCGCTAACAGGTGCTGCCATGATGGATATGAAATGGCAGGTGCTCTTTAAATATAAGGACTCATTCTTCCTAATAATTAGAATCTTTAATATTATTATTTGCAAACAAAATGAAGGTTTCCTATTTAGAATAATAAGCTGTTAGGTTAGTAAAACAGCAATATCAGAACTGATTTTAGGTTAATAGGTTAATCACACATACCATGTTTCCTGAAAGTTAGACCTACCCTGAAAATAAGATCTACCCTGATTTTGGGGGGATGGGCCTAATATAAGCCCTACTCCAAAATAAGCCCTAGTTAAAACCCTGCCCACTCAGTCCCACCTCGCTGCCACAATGGGGCAGGAGTCTTCATGTTGCGCTGCTGCTGCCCCAACAAAGCAAGGATGGTAGGAGAGGGGGTGGAGCTGCCCTACATGCCCCATACCTGGTTACTTCAGCCCCCTCCCCAGCCAGGCTATTCCTTGCTCGGCAACCTTCCCTTTCACTCCCCTTCTGAGCTGGACTACCATGCTATTGAGGATAGGCGGGAAAGACCTGGTTCCCCTCTGCTGTTTCGGAGCCAGGTGGGAGTGACGGCAAAAGGCTCCGCTGCCACTGTACGCCGTGGAGGGGCTTTCTTTGTGCTGTGGCCAACAGATATCTGCCCGGTGGCAGCCGCCGCCTCCTACTCCACCAACTGTCCTGTGGCTTGCACCATGATCAGGCAGTGCAAGCCTCCCCTGCCGCCTCCTTCCGCCAGCCCTCCATCGCCATCACTGGAGAGAACAGAGAACGGGGACGGGAGTGACCCTGCACAGTGATACAGAGCAGAGAAGAGCATTCGCTTGCTGCCCTGCATCATCCCACATCTCCCTTCTCCATTCTGGAAATGGCAGCCCCGTTTCTTGCCGCTTTTCCTCTCGGTGTTGCTGTAGAGTTTGGTGCATCACCGCCCATCTCCTCTGTCTTCCTGAAAGCATTTCTTCACTAACCTGTTTTCCAACTCTGGTGTGTTTCTCTCCTGCTGCAGACAAACAGAGTTTGTGGGCCTAAAAAAACTTCAGTCAGACTTCTCACACACAAAAAAAGATCTCACAAGAAGTTGGAAGGTCCAGCTTGAGAGGGGAGTGAAAAGGAAAGTTGTCAAGCAAGGAATGGCCTGGATGGTGGGGCCCTGAAGTAAGCAGGTGCACGGCACGTGTGGTAGCTCCACCCCGTCCCCCACCTGCCTCACCTGGTGGCAGCGGCGCAATGTACCGTGTGGCCTCCTGACACAAGCGGCCGCAGCAGAAGTGGGCCGGCAGCTACGCGGGTGCCTGCTGGACAGGGCTGTTGGTGCCACCACTGCGAGGTGAGGCGGGTGTCATAAAAAATATAAGAGATCCCTCCAAAATAAGACCTAATTCCTCTTTTGGAGGCAAAAATAATGTAAGACCGAGTCTTACATTCGGGGAAACACGATAGTTGGAGAAGTATTCAAATTCTTTTATTTAATTAAAGCACTTAGAGCCTGATACAGATGCATTTTTCTTCAAACAATTATACAGTTTGTAGTGTGCATAGATTTGCAAAACAATGGGATAAAAAATATTCCTGAACTTTGTTTTATGATTTATCTTATGGTTACTGTGAAATTGTGTGAATGCATCAATGCAGTATATGTTATCTCAGCTTGCAAAGCTTGGATTCATTGAATGAGTTTACCAAAAATGTAAATATTGCAGAATATACAGCCTCATGCTACATAACTAAGCTCCATTTCATGCTGAATAAACTAAATTATTAATGTATCTTAAATAGAAAACTATATTTAGATAGATTTTTACTCCAAAAGCATTTTATTAAAATAAATTTGATAAAAATAAAAAAAATCCGATTTAAACTAAAAAAAATCTTTTTTTTTTTAAAATAATCGATTATTTTCCACCCTGCTTGGAGATGTGTCTTGGGTGACTGTCCCAGTCCTTTGAAACAGAATCAAAGAGATTATGTGTTAATGTTTAATGTGGCACCTACAGGGAAGGATACCTTTGTTTTTAACTACATCTTATAGATAATCATGAGCCATCTATAGTGATTGTATGAAAAAGGCTGCCATGTAAGTCCTGTAAGTAAGTAACTAAGTAAATGTGGGTAGATGGTCTACCTTCAGGAACATTGCATCCTTAGAATGTTGAAATATCTATGGACAGAAGCACCCTAGAACAGTGGTGGCGAACCTATGGCATAGGTGCCAGAGGCGGCATTCAGAGCCCTCTCTGGGCACGCGCGCTATTGCCCCAGTCCTAGGCCTTCAGCTGGGTTTTATAAAACCTTTTCGCTTTAGGCCTCCGCCGCCGTGTACAAAAAAAGGTTCAATCAATCAGTCAATTTCAACTTCTCACAGAAAAAAAAGATCTTGCAAAGTTGGAATTGATTGATTGAACTTTTTAGTCTTACCCAATCTGCCGTTACCACCGCAGCCACGCCCACCCAATCGGCCGCACCCAGCCAATGGGCCATACCCAACGATGCATAAGGGGATTTTGGGTTGCGTTTGGGCACTCGGTCTCTAAAAGGTTCGCCATCACTGGCCTAGAAGATTGTTGTGGCCTGTTGTGGCAATTGGTTGAATGTATCGTAGTATATTAGTGTACTTGGATGGAGGTAGATGAAGTTGAGTTGTATTGGAGTGAAGGATGAATATGTTTGGATGAGTCCAAACCTAGGTTACTGTAGGTGTTATTGGAGGGGTTCAAGCTGAGTGGAGAAGAAGATACTATCAAGATTGTGATGGACAGGAGAAAATGTGGCAGGAAGCTGGGGGTGGGCCACATTTGGGAATGGTAGAACTATTGGTTTGGATGCAACCTTATTTCTAGTTCTCATATTGATCACTAATGTCAGGTGACTAAGTCTTCAATGTATCTGTATCCAGCTGCTGCTATTAAATGCCAGATCAGTTTATTTAATAATTTTATTAAATTTATCAAAGTATGAAGTACAAATGAAAATGAAAATAGTATGAAAATGGGGAAGAGGAAGGGGAAAGAAAGAAGTATAACGTATAGGGGAAAAGAAGAAAAGTATTGACATCCAACTTCTTTTAGTGCAGTAGAATAAAATAATAACATTATAGCCTCAAGTTTTTATTTTTACATACTTAACATGTACTATCAATTTCTATAACAACAATCTAAACAGCAAAACTCAAGTTTCATATTTTTCTGTCCCAAGTACAAAATCTAGCAGTGATTTCCAAAGCAGAAGTTGGATATATTCTTTTCTTTGATTAGAGCAGTTAATTTAGTGATCTCTGCTGTTCTATCATTTTTGCCAGTATTCACTCATTGTGGAAATTAGACTATCTTTCCATTTTTGTGCATAAAGCATTGTTGCTGCTATCAACATATATAATAGCAAGGTTCCATGTTT